ATACAGGGTTTGGCAGAAGTAAGGCCTGCTCGAGTGTTGTTGGTAGCGATGTCTTGCATGAGATGGACAACAACTTGAACATTTCACCTAAAATTTCATATGGTGTGCTTGAGTGTGATATGTTATGTTACAGGATTTCATGCTTATGATTTTGTAATAAAAGCTTTTGTTATAAAATAAAGGGGCATTATTTGTCCTGGACCTACAGCTAAGCATAGTACCTTTATAACAAAGATATGGAAAGGGGTGAATGACTTAGGCCATATATTTAATAAAAGTTAATTAAATTAATAAGTGCACAATTAGTGCTAAATAATGTTCATTATTTTAATTACTGTCCTTATTCACAGCTGAAAACACAGACTTTCAGGCAACGTAAGCCAGACGGTCGGTGCAGAAAGAATCCTTGCTCTATGGTCAATACCGGCCATCAATGTTGAAATTTCCCATTACACTTTAAATTCAATACATAAATCATAAGGGCAAGAACCACATTTTTCTTCTTTCATCCCATATCTCTAGCCTTTAATGTATAAGAAATGCAGGGTAATATTTTTAAATTAATGACTTGTAACTTTAAGGAGATGCTCAAAAAATCCTTTGGCAGGGACTACAAACACTATTTACCACTAAGGAGACCTCCCACCTCCTTCACAAAGTAGGCTTATGATTAGACTGAAAAATAATGGTGCCATGTGAAAGTTTTCTCCCTTCTAGAAGCTGCCAATGTTCAGAATATTGGACACATAGTACAAAATCAAACTATAATTATTGAATTGATATAATTGATGAAAGTGATGATGATGTACTTTGATATTCCTACTGAAAAGAAATTATAAATTAAGAAAATAATTTTAAGATAAAGCAATAAAAACAAGAAAATCCAACTTGATTAAGAAATGCAATGTTGTGACAATTATAATTCCATTCAGCTTAAGGGAAACATTGTAGACAAAAAAATTCTACCAGCTACACATTCGCAGAATGATATAACTTTTAAAAAGATCTTGACTTTCACTTCTAGTCATGAGAGAGTAACAAATTTTAGAACTATCATCCTACCATCAAAATTAGAAAATTGGAACCAGCATAATAAACATTTTTCAGACATTGGTGAGCAGGCAGCACTGTGACCATAGCTAAGAGGATGAAAACAATCAGGTGAGCCCTATGAAGCCCTTAGCTTTTTGCCTATCAACAATTTCCACATTGCATCAAAGGTAGGGGAACCCAAAGAAAGCTCAGTGGTCTAGTTTACTGAAGGTGACAAAGACAGAAGGTGACAGAGAAATCAGGGAGAATGAAGACAATAAAATATATGGGACTGAGTAGCAAAGAAAAAGGAGCAATCAAGAGAAAGCGCTCTTGAAATATCAAGATACATCTTCCGGAGCCTTTGGCTAAATAATAATCTACTAATGCAAAGGACAAAATTCCACAAGAGTGGACAGGGTAAAATTCCACAAGAGTGCACAAAGGTAAACTTTCAGAGGAAAATAATTGCCAAGGAACTGTAAGTAAAACAATTTCTAGAGTATACATAGGGATCGAATTGAGTTCCTACCAACCAGCAAGAAGAGACCTCCCTGAACACATGGGAATTCAATGGAGACCTTGGAAAGGACTTGTCTCAGTGTTAGAGCTAAATTTCCTTAGAGGGGAGATTGCTAGACCTGTCTCTGGGAGATGGAAAAGCTTCAAAACAGTCAAACTTAGATGCAAGTAAATTAATTGACTGCCAAAAATTTCCAACCCTATTTAAAGGGATAAAATAAAATTCAGCATTCAACAATGCAAAATTCAGTCTTGTAACAGTGGAAAATTATAATGGTGGAAAATTATAACCCACCCCAACATCCTTTGATATTATTTCTGCAAGTGCTGACTCAGACCAATATGTAGCTTGTAGCTAAACAGCATGTTTATGTAAGAATCCTAGGAACTAACTTCAAAAAACTGACCCCAACCTTCAGGAATCCCAGCTCTGGGAAATTTACTCTCCTTTGACTGTGGAGCCAGGATGATGTGAATCCTGAATGACTAAACCAGCATGATGCACACCAGACCATCACTTGCCTTATTGGAATGGACCGTGCTCGTCTGCCCATAGAGTTTTCAACACCTTCCCTTCATCTCTTTGTTAGAAAGACCTCTGCCTCCACTGAGAGAAATGGAGATGGGCTTTGAGACATGAGTCCCCCATCTTTCAGATGGCTGGCATCTGAAAATAAACCACTTCCCCTATATCAGCACCTGCCTCTCAAGTATTGGCTTTTGTAGTGGCAGATAGCTGGATCTGCGTTTGGTTACAGTCTGGCATCCAATAAAAATTTATGAATGTGGAATGGAAGCAGGAAAATATAGCCCTTAAGCAGAAGAAAGTCAATATATAGAACAAACTCACAAATGACAGAGATAATTAAGTAAACAGAAAGTATGTTAAAACAGGTAGTAAAATATGTTTATGATGTTAAAGAATTTAAAGACAAAAGCAAGGAAGAAAGATACAGAAGATATACAAAAGACCTAAATGAAACATCTAGAGATAAACAATACAGTATCCAAAATAAAAAAATGCACCAAGTATAGTAACAGCAGATTAGATAGTGCAAAAGAAACAACTGCAGAATGTGAAGCCATAGAAGAGAAAGTATGTGAGCTAAAACATGCAGAGGAAATCACTCAGGGAAAACACAGCTGCAGTGACTTGTGAGTCAACTGCAAGTGGCTTGACATATATGTGATTTGAGACCCAGGGAAAGTAAAGCATGAAAGATACTTGAAGAAACCATGGACACAATTTTTCCAAATTTGATAAAAACTATATATGCATAGATCCAAGAAGCCTGTAAAGTTCTAAATAAAATACACACAAAAACACAAGTTTCACCCAAATGAAATTGCTAAATATTATTGACAAAAAGAATATTTAAAAACAAAGAAAAAAGGTACATGAACTACAAAGAAACAGAGATATGGTATTACATACTTACCAGAAACTACATATTCCAAAAGTCAATGAACAACATTTTTAAAGCACTGAAGGAGCAACAACAAAATATGAAGCAGGTCAATCTAAAAGTCAATTGTAAGGAAAAATATCTTTCAGAAATTAAGGCAAGATAAGAATTCACCAGTCAGCACAGATAGAAATTCTGGGAGCCTCTCGAACCCTTTCTAAGGATGTACACATTCCCCTCTTCTTCCTCCCTCCTGGAGCAGAAGTCTCACAGGTATAAGCTTTTTTCCATCATCACTAATCATCAGGGAACTACAAATCAAAATCACAGTAAGATATGACTTCACATCTGTTTGGGTGGCTATTGTCAAAAAACAACAACAACAAAAGACAAGTATTATTGAGGATGTGGAAAAATTTGAAATTTTATACACTGTTGGTGGGGACACAAAATGGTGCAGTTGCTATAGAAAACAGTATAGAAAACAGGAATTTCCTCAAAAAATTAAAAATAAAACCATCTTGTGATGTGGCAATCTCATTTCTGTGTATCCAAAAGAATTGAAATCAAGACCTTGAAAAGATATATGTGCTCCTGGTTCATTCCAACATTATTCACAATAGCCAAGATCTGGGAGCAACGTACACGTTCACTGATGAACAAATGGGTAAGAGAAATGTGGGATGCATTTTTCATGCACTCCACAATGTATGTATTCCAATACATACATTGGAATACTATCCAGCTTTTAAAAAGACCTCCTGTCATAGGCAACAACATGGGTGAACCTAAAGGACATTATACTGCATGTCGCTGTGTATGATGTGCAGCCGCGTTTCAGTTCTACCAATGAATGGTGTGCATCCTCGTTTTTCCCTCAAAACTTTGAGCAAAAAAAGTGTACATTATACATGGCAAAATATGGTACTTAGTGAAATAATCTAGTCACAAAGGACAAATGCTGAATGATTCATGTTTATAAAGTATATAAAATAGTCAAACTCATAGATGCAAAGAGTAGAATGGTGGCTGCCTGGGGCTGGGGGCGGAGGAAGAGGGGAATGGTTGTTCAACAGGTACAAAGTTTCAGTCATGCAAGAAGAAAAAGTTCTAGGGATCTTCTGTACAACATAGTACCTATAGTTAACAAAACTGTATATACACTTAAAAATACATTAAGAAGGTAGATCTCATGTTAAATGTCCTAATCACAATAACAAATGAAGAAATGAAGTCAAAATAAAGATTTCTTTCCCAGACAAGCCCTGAGAGAATCGGTCACTAGCTGACCTACAAAACAAGCAATGTTCAAGGAGGTTCTTCAGGCCAAAGGAAATATGACAAAGGGAAATAGCCGGGTCTCTCAATCTTCTAACCAAAGAGACAAAAATAATAATAACAGCAATAATAACATTATTATTAATAGCAGTAGTGGTTTGCTATTGCTGAAGACAAATTACCACAGACTTAGCAGTGTAGAACCACATATATTTATTATCTCACTGTTTCTGTGGGTCAGTGTTCAGGGCATGGCATAGCGAGGTCCTCTGCTCCAGGTCTCACCAGGCTGCAATCCAAGTGTTGGCGGGGCTGCCTTCTCAGCTGGAGGTTTTCCTGGGAAAGAATGCACTTCCAAGCTCATTCAAGTTTTAGGCAGAATACATTTCCTTATAGCTGTATGACGGAGTCCTGACTCTTTGCAGGTTGTCAACTGGAGGCCACCAGCAGATCCTAGAAGCCACACATAGCTACTTTCTATATGGGTTTCCTCAACATAGCTGCTTACTTCATCAAGCCAGCAAGGAGAATCTCCTGTTCTGGTCTGCTAACATGGTTTCTTATACAATATAAAGTAATCAGGGAGTGACATCCCGGCACCTTTGCCAGGAACATAATCTAATCAAGGGTGTGACAGCCCATCACCTTCGCCAATTCTAGAAGCAAGTGTCAGGTCCCTCCCTTACCCAAGGAGTGCAAACTACACAAATGCATCAACATGAGGAGGCAAGTCATTGGAGGGGTCGCTTTTGGGTCTGTATGCCATATTATTATCATGGAAACTTGCTTGCTTAGAAAAAGGTAAGTATATTTAACTTCAAAAACATTCCTCCATCATTCTAATTAGGTCTTGGTAAATTTCCTGGGGTGCATCCTGTCCAAGGTAAAAATCCACATGATTGTAGTGAGGAATAAATTTGTAATAAATGAGTCTGGTGATTTTAGGAAGTAAATTTTCAGTGTCCTTGGAATCAGCCACATTGTCCTGTCCACCACTCCACATTGCTGTTGGAACTTCCATCTGAGAAACGTTGTATACAGGAGGTGTAAGCTAAATACAATGAAAGAGAAAGAGAGAAAGAAAAAAAGTTTTCATGGAAAACCACATTATAGAACTAACATTATCAGTTTTTAAGCACGTTCTTTAAATGTTAAAAATGCACAATTAGGATACACTTAATGATATGCAGACATTAAAATGTTAAATTTACTTAAAATGCTTCAGGGCAATAACATGAATTATGAATTTAGAAAAACAACCATTGTATTTCTGATTTTCACTTTTGGGGAAATAGGAAATGATCCTAAAGAAAAGGGGCCTGTATTTTTATGGACATCATCTTTCTAGTAGCACTTGGACTGGGAGTGTGTCCTTTCAAACAAAATATTGGATAGGATATATATAAATACCCCTCCACATATGCAGAAACCTGGGCTCAGGGGAATTATTGACATTTGAGCAGACTCTTCAGGGAGCATTGGAACCAATTCATAAAAACAGACATCGGAAATATGATGTTAAAAAGCCAGCCTGTGGATTGAGCGCGGGCTGGGAACCAAAGTGCCCCAGGTTCGATTCCCAGCCAGGGTACATTCCTGGGTTGCAGGCCATAACCCCCAGCAACCACACATTGATGTCTCTCTCTCTCTCTATCTCCCTCCTTTCCCTCTCTAAAAATAAATAAATAAAATATTAAAAAAAAAAAAAGCCAGCCTGTTACAGAGCAATCGTGCCCGGGGTGCTCATCTCCTGGCAAGTTTTCCCTGACTCCTGGGCTCCGGTAACACCTTTCCTGTGCTGATTCAACAAATTCCTCTCCTCCAGTTCCAGAGTGGTCCAGGGTGACCAGGTCTGGCCAATTAGCTCTTTATTTCCCTGGCCACAGTGGTTGTATGAGAGATGATTAAAACTCAGCTCGAGTTCTCTTTGGAACTTTTTGCCAGAACTGTTAAAAATGATTGCCTTTTTCTTTGGGTTTGCAGTTGAAAGAACTACATACATCTAGTCACCTATCCTACTACTTTTATGATGGAAGCACGAGAGAGAGAGAGAGAGAGAGAGAGAGAGAGAGAGAGAGAGAGAGGGAGGGAGGGAGGGAGGGAGGGAGGGAGGGAGGGAGGGAGGGAGGGAGGGAGGGAGGGAGGGAGGGAGAGGGAGAGGGAGAGGGAGAGAGAGGGAGAGAGAGAGATCCCTGATGACAGTGTTTAAGTTCCTGGCTTTTGTGAGTTTACCACTATACTTTTAGTTTACTAAAGCAGTGTGTGTGTGTGTGTGTGTGTGTGTGTGTAAAATAGAGTTGATTTATGCTACTTGCAACTGAGTCTTAACTATTACCATATCCTATGGACTAAACTCTTCCCCAACCTAAGCCAAATTTGTATGTCAAAACTCTACCCCACAATGATTATATTTGGAGAGAAGGCTTTTAGGATATCATTAAGTTAGATGAGGTCATAAAGGTTGGGCCCTAATCCAATACAATTGATGGTCTCATGAGAAGGGGAAGAGCGCACACTGAGGAAAGGCCCTATGAGCCCATATCGAAGTAGGCTCTCTTCAAGCCAAAGAGAGCCCTCCGCAGAACCCAACCATGCTGCCACCTTGTCCTTGGACTTCCAGCTTCCAGAACTGTGAGAAATAAATTTCTGTTAAGCAACTCAGTCTAGAATACTTTAATGGCAGCCTGAGAAGATTAATATGCAATAGTTAATTTTGGCAGCAAAATTAGGAAGAAATGGTAATATGGACAAAAATATAGATCCTTAGGAAAACGTGACCTAGGCCAGGGAGAGGTTTTGGGTTTTTTTTTAAGTATATTGTATTAATTATGCTCTTACAGTTGTCCTAGTTTTTCCCCTTTGCTTCCCTGAGTCTGGTACCCCCGTTACCTCCAGCAATCCCCCCATAGTTCCTGTCCATGGGTCGTGTGTGTAATTTGGCTTCTCCATTTCCTATGCTATTCTTAACATCCTCCTGTCTATTTTGTACCTATCATTTATGTTTCTTCTTCCCTGTACCTTTTCCCCCATTCTTTCCCCCTTCTGCTTCCCAGCTGATAACCCTCCAAATGATCTCCATATCTATTATTCCATTCCTCTTCTGCTTTTTTGCTTAGTTCTTATTTTTAAGATTCAGTTGTTTATAGCTGTGAGTTTGTTGTCATTTTAATGTTCATAGTCTTGATCTTCTTTTTCTTAAATAAACCCCTTTAACATTTCATGTAATAATAGCTTGGTGATGATGAATTCCTTTAGTTTTACCTTGTCTTGGAAGCACTTTATTGCCCTTCAATTCTAAGTGAGAGCTTTGCTAGATAGTGTGATCTAGGTTGTAGGTTCTTGCTTTTCATGACTTTGAAAAGTCATGAAAAGTCTATTTCCTTCACCAAATTAGAGGTTTTCTTTCATTATTTTTTCAGAAAAGCTTTCAATTTCTTGCTCTTCCTCTTCTCCTCTTTCACCCCTCCAATTTGGATATTGGTATGTTTAAAGTTGTCCCAGAGGTTCCTAAGCCTCTCCTCAATTTTTTTAATTCTTATTTCTTCTTTCTGTTCTGGTCCACTGTTTATTTCTTCCTTTTGTTCTAAATCATTGATTTGAATCCTGGCTTCTTTTTTTCACCAACAGGTTCCCTATATATTTTTCTTCATTTTAATTTGTGTAACCTTCATTTCACTTTGTGTAACCTTCATTTCTTCCTTTATTTTTTGCCATACTCAGTGGGTTCTCAGAGCATCCTTATCAACAGCGTTTTGAACTCTGCATCTGATAGGTTGGCTACCTCCAATCGTTTAGTTCTGTTTCTAGGGTTTTGTTCTGTTCGTTTGGGCCATATTTCTTTGTTTCCTCAATTTGGCAACCTCCCTGTGTTTGTTTCTGTGTATTAGGTAGAACTGCTTTTACTCCTTGTCTTAGTAGCATGGCCTATGTAGCAAAGGCACCTGTAAATAGTATGTGGCAGAGCCTTAGGTAATTGCCAGGGCAGGGCAACCTACCTCATTGTTCCCCAGCTCCAAAGGGGTGGCCAGAGAGGGGAAAACACCGCTGCCTGGCCTCCAGAGGTCTGCCTGGTGCTTGCCTCATTTCCTATCTCTTCACCCACTTCCTGTGTGAGACTGGTACCCCTCCAGCTGCTGCCCTGTGATTTGTGCACATTCTAAGTCCATGTGGGTCCTTTAAGCAGTGAAAATCTGGCAGTTTCTTCTGCCACCCCAACCCCCACTGTTTTTATAGCCAGAGGTAATGGGGGTTATCTTCCTGATGCTGGAACCCTGGGCAGTTCCTGGGGCTGGGATCACTTGCTCCCAGGGTATTCAGGGAGAGGTTTCTCAGAGAACTAGAAATATGCCTGAGGGAGACTCGACCTGGTGACTGTGTACCCCGCATTCTCTTTGTAGGGTGATATTCAGGCAGAGCACACTGGTACAGATTCCAGATGTTATTTCCAATTGATGGGTTGGTGTTTCAATTTTTGTATTACTTTATATTTAGAGCATATTATCCTTACCCATAATACCAGGAGGCATTGGACCTGAGCTTAGGACCAAGTGGTAAATAAGAATGTGTGTTGTTAAACGAAGGCAATGCAAAGGGAAAGAAGGAAATGAATGCAGATCAGCACTGGTCAGTAGTGCATGCGAAGGGAAGACGGACTCAGGAAAGCCTGGTGCAGTAGCTCAAATGGAAAGTGCAACTGATGAGAAAAGAGACATGCTTTTTCTGACCCTACACTTTTCTCAATAGAATAACACAAGGCATAACTATTTAAATGCAAAGACAGAGATAAAAAGTACATGATAATGCAACACAACAGTGGCAGCAACAAATGTCAGCAAGCTTCAGGACACAAGAGAGGTCTGAGAAGCCCCTGAAATCAGAATATCTTTACTGAAATGACTTAATACCCTGCTAAGGATGAATGGAGAGCCTAGAAAGGTAACAAAGGTAACTAAGTAACCTTTGTTACTTAGTAACAAAGGTAACTAATCTTAAAATGAATATTAAGATTAGGATTTAAGTGATACACAGTGTCTTTTGGCCAAAAATTTTTGCTTTCTTTATAATAAAAGATTGGTGATAACATTGGTAATTACACTTGTCTAATGTATAGTGTTATTACTTATTGTTGTGACTAGGTTTATTGCTTTTTAACCATGCATATAGTTTGCCCTCAGTTTGTTTAGGATTTTCCCCCAAAGTACCAAGCAAAATATTCATAGCTAAACCTGAATCATCATTTTAAAAAATAGAATCTGAAAACATAATGATAAAGCTAATACCTGCAAGTCACTTAATCTTATCCACAGAGGTATCTGAGTCTTACAGAGTAAGGCCACCACCTAAAAGTTTTTCCTAAAGCAGCTATATACTCTTGCCAAGGCAAGGAATTGGATAATTATGAGTAAATAGTGCATATAGACATAGTGTGTTTGGGCACACATCCCCACACACATATGTAATTATAGTAGTTTAGGAGAAAAGTCAGATTTTTCACACCAGTTGAATTTATTCATTTTTACTATTGTAGTTATTATGGTGGCACTGAAAATCCACTTTTCAAAAAATTTCCAAACTTCCACATCCCTGGTTTGCAAAACCCATGTACCTTTGATGACTACTTGTTTAATGTGAGCTCAGTCTATCAGAAAAAAAGTTGAAATCTCTATTAAATTCCCTTATTTACTAAAAAACACACATATTTCCCTTAATATGGAATTTTTGCTCCAAAACTTTTCATAGAGAACATCAAGAAATATCTTCATGTAGCATTCTCTGGGGAATAGCACGGATTCTTCCTAAAGGGGACATTCCTGTCTGGTGTATCTTTAATGATCCTGTATAGTAGTAAACAACTTTCCAAAGAACTAATAAGACAGTGTGAGCTCATTTTATGAGAGATGAATATGAAGTCAGAGCATATGCTCTAGAAACAACAATTATGTATCTTTACTTCTCCCTTTAATATATGATCTTAAATGCTAAGAGTTTCTATTTTTTTTTTTTGAAAAGCAGTGAGTAGAGTAGGAGAAGAATAGACTTTAGATCCAGAAACTCCTGGGTCATATTTTGATTCTTTACTAGCTAAATAATTTTGACAATTTACTTAACCTCTCTGAGCCTTGCAAGGCCATAGTGAAGATCAAAAGTAATGATATGGCACATGGTAAGAAACCAATAACTAATATATGACCCATAAAAAATAGCTGGCATGGTCTGAATGAGATCTAGTAAGTATTTAATGAGTGGATGCCATGCATGGTGGTGCAAAAGTAGGTTTACAATTTTTCATATGAAAAATAATATAATAATCAATAAATAATAATACAAGAATTAATGCTGTGTTTTGTATACTCACAACTGTAAGCCTCCTTTTGCCCACCCTGCATGCATTAGCTCATTCACAGTATGCCACTGACGACTGTTATTACTTTACCTGGTGAAAGTGCTCCATGTTCTTATCAGGGTTTCCCCAATCAAAAGCTTGGAACAGACCAGAATTAACAGCCTATGATAAAAGAATAAACACATTAAAATGATACCAAAAAATCAAACACTTGAAGACAGTAAGTAAGAAATGTACAGAGAAGATTGACATGATATCCTACTTTTTAAAATTCAGTAAAGATTAATAAGCCAAATAATAAAAATTGATACTAATTTCTGAAACATTGTTAAGCTTGTATCCCCCCTTCTAATTTTCCAATAAAGATCCTCAAACAGAAATGCCTTTAAAATGTTACAATGCTGTACACAGAAAAGTTTTAAAAGATGCTGAATTGAATGGTTCTTAAATATCTTGGCTTAAGGAATTTACATATCTATATCTACATCTATATATATTTAAAAGACACCACCTATACATTTCTTTTTTAAAAAAGATTTTTAATTATTTATTTTTAGAGAGAGGGGAAGGGAAAGACAGAGGAAAACATTAATGTGTGGTTGCCTCTCTTGCACCCTCTACTGGGGACCTGGCCCGCAACCCAGGCACGTGCCCTGACTGGGAATTGGGCCAGAGACACTTTGGTTCTCAGTCCAGCACTCAGTCCAATGAGCCATACCAGCCAGGGCCACCCATACATCTCTTACATTAAAAAATATCTGCCATTATTATTAAGTAACTTTAAACCTTATTATCCTTAGCAGGTGGTCTAGGATATTCTGATGATACTCCCTATTCTTAAACAGTTTTGTTACTATTTAAAGGGACATTCATTCCCAGAACACCTGGGGTGCTTCTGTGGAAGGTGTGGTTTTCTGGGTCTGTCTCCTGTCTGCAGGACCAAGCACCCTGCCATGTTAACAGCAGGGTGGCCACAAGCTGCGTGTCTGAGACACCACACTTGACCTTTTGCGCATTTTAATTTTAGACTTCAGATATTACAACAGAAACATTCATATACTTTGGGGTTCCTTTTTCTGTTATTTGCCACCCATGCCTATTTGAAGAGGCAGATAATTTTTACCTTTACCTCAAGCTCTTCATTAAACTATTCACAGACTACTCTAAGGGTTTTTTCTTAACTTGAATCTCGGGTATTTTTTTCCACACTCATCAATTTAAATTTGACTTTTAGTTTTAAATGATCCCATCAGATTTATATCGACAGAGGAAGTGGCCTTCTGTTATTGGAATTTTGCAAGACTTTAGCAATGGGAAGCAATAGAGTATACTAGTTAAAAACGTGGACTTTTGCATCTAAGCTTAAAGAAATATTGAATCTGTGGTCCGGGACAAGATATTTGTCTTCTCTAAACCTGTTTTCTCACCTATGAAGTAGGAGTGACAATAGCATTCTTCTCATAGGTTGTGAAGAGTAAATAGAGCAATAAAAACATGTAACACCTAGAAATGCTCAACAAATCTTTTTTACTAATGTTACTACCATCTTCCTCATTCTTGCCTTAACTGTCTATATAAATTATGACCAAATAATTTATACCCCAACCTTACTTCTATCTTGAAAAGGACTTTCTGTCCGAGAAGAATGCCCTGGAAGAGGAGTCAGCTGTGAGATGTGTAAGGGATTGGCTATGGCATTTGTAGAACAAGGATATTAGTGTCTTTATTGCAAGATTGTCATGAGAATGAATTAAATGATATTGGATGAAGTCATGTATAGAAATGATAAAAGAATGCATAGTAAGTGCTCAGTAAATATGAAATTGAAGTTGCACTGCCTGGAAGGCCACACCCATCAGTGAGTCTGTCTCCTCACCAGCAGGAGGTGCTATGCCTTGAACATCTTTTTTCTGATACAAACTTGAAGGCTTATTTCAGAAATTCCCAACCAGTGTTTCAGGCTAACTATGGCCATGATTTTAAAGTTTAAAGCAAGAAACTAATGTATCAGAGTGCAGTTTTAAATGCAAATTACTGGAGATCTCAGATACATTAAAATTTTGGAAAGAACTCTCCTCTCTACCCCCCATTCTACACACGAACTCTCTTACATACTTGGCTCAGGAAACTACACTAGTTGAACTTGACTTATCTTGGAGCTTGTCAAATATTGAGTAACATAGTAACACAAAGAAAAAAACTTAAACTGAGGGTAAAAACAGACAACATTAATCTATATTGATCCCTCCCTAATATTTAATTTTCTCTGAGTAAAACTCCATACTCTGAAATGGCCCATAGGCCAAAAGAAGGGTGAGATCTTTCTGGAATAGCCTATATCATGATGCATAAAGTTCTGGTAGAACTGGTGATGTCCCAGAAGAGGAAATATAAGCTTTCCCTAGAAAAGGCAGTTTGGAATAATCTAAGGATCAGAACTCAGTTAGAATATGTGGGAACCAGGCCCAGACTCTAAGCACTGAGGACATGCAGACAAGAAGGGAGTAAAGGAAATCAACATGTGTTGATGCTGATTCTAGAAATATCAGCTGGACAGTGACAGGTGCCTGCAAAACCCTGCAGTGAGCTGTCTGGGGGTGCTGCTCGGAGATCTTGCATAGATATGTGTGCACCACATCAGAAACAGGAAGCACGTACCTGGGACCAGTGTAGCATATTCTGAACAGACGTTCCTGCCTGACTCTGTGCCAGATAAACATCCAAGCGACTCTGCACAGTAAAGAGATCATGTTTCATCTTGAGGCTAATCATATAATCACATCACAAGTAAATCTGAATACTTTTTTAAGATTTTTCTTGTAGTAATAAATATACAGCATACTCTCTGAAGACATATTAACCAAAGAAGCCCATGTTTAAGAAGTTTTCCTTCCCTTAGCTCTGTTCTTCTGTCCTGAGCAGTGTCTTCATGAAGCCCACAAAGGGCATCCCATGGGTCAGAGGCAGAAAATAATACACCTTTTCTTTCTAGTTGCCTCTCAGACAGGTCCCAGGGGGCAGAAAGTCATGGGATAAAAGCCCCATTGATTTTCTTCTTCACCTTGTATTATGTCCCAAAGGACATTCTAAGAAAGTTGTTCATTGTAAGATACTGAGAACAGTTCTGAATGTTCCCATTTGTTTTCTGATTTTTAAAATATTCTATAGGGCTCTGTGAAAGTTTGTAGGATATGAGCCACCCAATATTTTAACCTCTACTAACATTTAAATTTATTCTATATTTTTAAAAAACCTTGAGTTTTTCATATTTTCAATTGCATTCTGGTTTTTTAGTATACAAAATGAGTGATTTGTCCACCAAAGTAAACATCAGAAACATCTTGGAGCTTTAGAAAATACAACTAAAGCTACCCAAACCTGAGATTCAATATTAAAATCTCCAGGGCTGAGTTCGGGACATGTGTATTCTTTCAAAGTTCTACAAACATTCTACTTACGTACCCCTGGTTATACTTTACTAAACATTCTTGCAGGCATTGTAATATTCCATAGTCTGGGCCCCAACAGTGAGAAAAAAAGAAGGCAATCTCACTGCATAAATGTACAATGAGGGCTGTCAATTTATGTTCAAGTGTGGCATTTTGTGAGGGATTACTTTAGCAAACTCTTAAACTATGTTGAGAGGGTGATTTTGAAATTATCTCTATTGAGTTTGCTTAAAGGTGTTTTTACTTAGCTTTGCCTACATGAAATGCTTCCATCTAAATGATAGGCAAACACAGTCTCCCCAGTAAATTCAGAAAGTGAGAAAGGAATGTGAAAAGCAGAAGCTAACACATGCTTTGCAAAAACAACATTTTAAACCTTGCTTGAATGCAAGGAAAATATTAATCAGTGCTTTCTACCTCCAGAGGGATACAAATCTCTGTGCAGAATCTGAGACACAAGTGGAAATCACCTTCAGCTTTGTCTCTGGTTTCATACATATCTCCTCTCTAACTGGGCAGTAAACAGTAACTGCCTCTCTTTCCTCTTCCCACTGTTTGGGTCAGCTAGTAGTAACTAAAAAAGGAAAGGATCTTCAGTTAAGTTGACGACATCTCGACAAGCACCCAACATTTATCCTCTCCCTATCCCTTGAACAGTGAATGTGTAGCTATCACTGAAGAGCCACCCCTTTATCTCTTTGGATTAAAGAAGTGGCTCACAAAATGTCTATTTCTACATGAAAGTGGAAAACTGATTTAAATAGAGATGCCTGAGCTCACTTCCTGAAATTCTACTTCACTAGGTCTAAGATAGGGCTCATGCACAGCAAGGTAAGTTGCAAAACCATAGCTGTAATCAAAGTGAGGGGCTTTCCAATGTGGAACTTTGGCTAATAGCAAGAGTTGATAAGAATTTTTAGCCCTGGCTGGCGTAGCTCAGTGGATTGAGCGCAGGCTGCGAACCAAAGTGTCACAGGTTCGATTCCCAGTCAGGGTACATGCCTGGGTTGCAGGCCATGACCCCCAGCAACCGCACATTGATGTATGTTTCTCTCTCTCCCCCACTTCCCTCTCTAAAAATAAATAATAAATAAAATTTTTTTAAAAAAAGAATTTTTAGCAGAAAACTTTCTCAAATCCTCGTACTAAAGTAAGTGGACTCTCAGCTTTGGATGGAAACTGAATATCCTTTAACATTTCAGGAGACAAAAAGCAGACCTTCAACACGGTTTCTGTGCAATTTAGAATAACATCTCCTAACCATTGTGCAACAAAACAATTGCTTTCCCAGATCCAACTACTTACACGTACCATGTTTAAGTTTTTTGGATCAAATCCAGAAAAAGAAAATAGGAAGTTGCTGCAAATACGACGAAATAGCTTCCGGTTACACACCTTGGTGGCAATGAATTGTTCAAAAAATGTATGAGGAGAGAACATCTTGTCACCAAATAATACCTGCAAGTTCAATTTAAAACACCATCAAATTTCATGCAGTGCATGTCAACAGTGGAAAATAAGTAGTAATTCAGACAAGGGCTGGACAGAAGATGACATCTGCTTAGTACTTAAAACTCAGTGAAAGCAAGAGTTACGTTAAATTTTTTCTTTGCAATTCCCTCAGCTCACTTTATTTCCCGAGATCTGTTTCTTGGAGTGTTTTTGTAATGCCCCCTAAGAAATTAGTCCTCACAGAACACAGTTTAGACTTTGGAACCAGAGAAACCTTGGTCTGATTTTGGACTTTTTCTCTTATACCTTAGAAAAGTATTTAATTTCTAGTGTCCTGAATTTTCTCAAATTTAAAATGGAAAAATCAATGTGCACTAAGTAGAACTGCTGTGAAGACAATAAGTCATGTTTAAAAGATCCCTAGTGCATTTTCTAGACCTAGTGAACATTACAAAAACCGTACTATTATTATATTTAGTGACTAATACAGACTTGGTAAGTCATTCCTTCCAGAATCTTTTAATACACTCTTTCTAGAGGCAAAAGCTTACCCCAAATAAATCAATCTCCACTCATGGAATTTCTAGTAATATTGCAAGTAACTTGAACATATCTTTTGAACTTTAAGAATCCTTGAAGTTAAAACATAAATTAAAATCTAATCCCTATGCATATAAATCCAATATTGCCGCAGTTTTACAATAAAATAGTTTTATAATCTTAGGATAATAAGCTAGATATAAAGGTGAAAAGATTTTTTTTGATACTTAAAACTTTTGGAAACATCCATTTACACTAAAATACTATCATTTCTCTATTTTGGAATTCTTCTTTAATTGGCAATCACAACTAAGAACAAAAAAAAACTAGCATTTATTTTTATTGAACTAATGCACTGCAATAACATATTATCTTTGGTAAACCAGTTTTAGTAAATTCCTACTGTTATAATTCATTAAATTCCAAGTGTGAAAAATGGTTATCTTTACAACCAAAGGTAATATTTAATAAAATATTTTATATTCCATGGGATATTAATGAAGTACATGATATGCCATGACTTAATATAATCCTTCATGCCAGAGAGAGGGAGGGCCGGAGAAAGGAAGGAAAGGAGACAGGGAGAGGCTACAAGATGTTAAACTAGTTCAGGCCCCTGCAGGCATTATCTAATTTATTCTGGCCTCTTATTCACTTTGTCACAGTCACTGGAACCCTTGAACAATATGTCAGATAATTTATTTAATTCATTTAACAAATTGTAACTCTTCCTATGTAACTATCTTCATGATAATTTAATGGTGCTTATCTTTTAAAAGAATGTTGACATCTGTGTTCTCAAGTATGATAACCTAAACAGATCACAACATAAATAAGTAATTAAAGTAAAAGGCAGGATCTGATTTTACTCAGTGAACATTTTTATTTTTCATTTGCCAATATCTTCATCATCTGCACTTGGCAGAAAATTCATGTGAAAGAAGACAGCCAGTTCAGAGAGTAACTGACTGTGAAAATATGATGTGAAGGAAGAGGTTATGTACCACAAGAAGTTCTTGTTCTTTGTTCTGATGGTTTACTTTCCTAAATATAGGAAATATAGTGAAATAGCATGATAGCCTCTGACTTGACTCCACCTCTGTAACCATGCATGAGTGACTCAGCAAAACTAACATCCCTTTACCCGAGGATAAATAATTGGTCCTTTGCTCTAACCTAAAAGGGAGGATAATAATTCAGACTAACCAGCCGTATAGCATCCACTCGAGGAGTGGTAAACATGCTGACTTGTCAGTGTAATTCCAGGTTGGCTCTTGAGGGACATGTTTGTCTCATAACAGCATGGAGAGACGCTTCTGCTGTTAGCTTTTTTGGCACCTTTGTGACAATTACAAAAGCACCCCTCCCCTTTCTTTTGGGCACATGACTCTGTGCCAGAGCACATGGCTTGTCAAGCAGAACAGGGACTGCATTCAGCCCTCAACAGCCTACTAAGCTGGGCACCAGTGTGTATGGCTGCATAATGACCCAAGACTGACTTCTTCAGGTCGGCACTGAAAACGACAACATACGAAAAAGAGCACTGACCATGGATGGCTTGATCAGATCTGGGTTCAAATTCTGATTCTGCCACCCATTAGCTGGGCAATTTGGAATAGGATGTTTAACCTCTCTGAGACTCAAGTTTTCCTTTTAAGAAATGGAAACAATATTAATACTTAGTATCATAGATAATATGTAAAAAGCAAAGGGTCAAAGCAAGCTATAACTTAGAACAAAGAAAGATAAGAAGGGGAAGGCATAAATGCCCAGGGGCAAAACAAGGGGTGGCGAGTGGGGGAGAAAGAAGATTTGAAACACAGAGGGCTGTGGCTTTGACTGCAAAATAAATTCAGTTAATAATACTAGATAATATTTATAGAGCACTCACTACAGTCCAGTACAATGATCTCAATGAATATCCCAAACAACTTGACAAATTCTATATTTTTAAATTTACTTATTAACTTACAACTTTAATGAATAATTGACACTATATGACATTAAAAATCCTATGAATAAAAGCTTGTATGCTCTTTCTTACATCTCCCTGTTTTCCCATGCTTCAGTCCAGAAAGCACCATTTTAGTTTTTGTTTCTACAAAATTGGCTTTTTAAAATTAGATTCCATACATAAGTGATTCCATACAGCATTTGTCTTTGTCTGGCTTATGTCATTTAGCATTAAGCCCTCCAGATTCATCCATGTTGTTGCAAATGAAAATATTTCCTTCTTTTCTTTTGGCCTTTTTATGTTCTTTTTAATTTTTGTATTTTAATTTGTTGCAGAACCTGTATATTATTTTCCATAAGAGCCATGCCAGTTTACTTCCATTAATAGTACAGTATGAAGGGTTCCCTTTTCTCCACATTCTCACCATCATTTATAATTTCTTATCGTTCTGAGAAAAGCCATTCTAAAAGGTATGAGATGATATCTTATTGTCAGGTATGAGATGATGTCTCATTGTGGTTTTAACTTGCATTTTCCTGATGATTAATAATGTTGAGCACTTTTTCACATATCTACTGGTCATTTGTATATCATCTTTGGAAAAAACTTGTGGTCCTTTGCCCATTTTTAAATTAAATTACTCACTTTCTCCTATTGAGTTATATAAGTTATTTGTATATTTTATATTAACCTTGTATCAGATACTTGGCAAGTACTGTAGGTTACATTCTTAACATATTGATTACATCACTTGCTGAGTTGAAGCATTTTGGTTAGTCCTCTTTTTTTTATTTTCATTACCCATACTTTAGGTATTCTATCAAAAGAAATTATTGGTAAGATTAATGTCATCATTTTCCTTAAGTTTCCTTCTGTGTGTTTTACAGTTTCAGGTCTCACACTTAACTCTTTAATCCCTTTCAAGTTAATTTTCTGTGTGGTATAACATAGGGATCCGGTTTTATTCTTTTACATGTAGCTAGCCAGTTATCCCAATGTTATTTATTGAAAAGACTATCCTTTTCCTACTGTGTGTTCATAGTGCCCTGTCAAAGATTAGGTGACCATAAGTAGGGGTTTATTTCTGGGCTCTCTGTTCTGTTTTGTTGGTTCATGTTCCTGTTTTTTATGCCAGTATGTTACTGTTTGATTACTATGTTTTTGTAACATTGTTTGAAATCAAGAAGTGTGATGACTCACCTTTGCTCTTTTTCTTTTTTAAATAAAACTTGTTGTATTTTTTCACATTACCATTTAGTCCCCAACTTATACTCACTCCACCAGCAATCACCACATTGTTGCCCATGAGTCCTTTTACCTTTTTGCTCCATCCCTTTACTCTCCAACCTCCCGTGTACACAATTATCCTGCTCTCCATCTACGAGTCTGTCCCTATTTTCCTTGTTAGTTCAGTTTGTTCATTAGAAGCCACATATGAGTGAAATCATAGGGTATTTGTCTTTCTCTGATTGACTTATTTCACTTTGCATAATGTTCTCCAGGTCTATCTATATCATCGCAAAGTGTAAAATTTTCTGCTTTTCTACAACTGAGTAGTATTCCGTTGTGTAAATATGGCAGTTGTTTAATCCACTCATCTACTGAAGAACACTTGGGCTGCCTCCATATATTTGCATTTGTAAATAACACTGCAATGAACATAGGGGTGCTTAGGTTTTTTTGAATTAGTGTATTGGGTTCTATCAGATATATTCCCAGAAGTGAAATAGCTGACTTGAAGAGCAGATCCATTTTTAATTGTTGAGGTATTTCCATACTGCTTTCCACAGCGACTGCACCAATCTGCAGTCCCATTAACAGTGGAAAAAGGTTCTCCTTTCTCTACATACTCGCCAGCACTTGTTTGTTGATTTACTGATGACAGCCATTCTGACAGATATGAGATGATATCTCACTGTGGTTTTAATTTGCATTTCTCTGATGATTAGTGATATTGAACTTCTTTTCATATGGCTATTGGCCATCTGTATGCCCTCTTTCAAGAAGTGTTTATTCAGGTTCTTTGCTCATTTTTAAATTGAATTGTTTGGGTTTGTTTTTGTTGGTGTTGAGTTTTGTAAATTCTTTATAAATTTTGGATATTAATCCCTTATCAGATGTATTGGCAAAAGGTTCTCCAATTTGTGGGTTGTTTTTTTACTTTGCTGATGATTTCCTTTGCTGTGAAAACTGTTTTTAGTTTGATGTACTCATCTGTTTATTAATTCTTTTGTTTCTCTTTCCTGGGGAGATATATCTGATAAAATATTGCTACAAGAAATGTCCAAGATTTTGCTGCCTATGTTTTCTTCTATAATTTTTATGGTTTGAGGTCTTACATTTAAGTCTGTGACCCATTTTGAATTTATTCTTGTGTGTGGTATAAGAAAGTGGTCTAGTTCTTTTTTTCTGTACATATCTGTTCAATTGTCCCAACACCATTTATTGAAAAGTATCTTTAGCCTATTGTATGTGCTTGCGTCCTCTGTCAAATATTAATTGACTATAAAGG